AACTATTTGCCAATCAAAACCATTATCAAAAACTATCACAATAAAATAACTACTGTTTATAGAGAAGGAAATGGCAACTCACTCCATTATTCTTGCCTGGAGAATCACATGGATGGAGGAGACTGGTGGGCAACACCCCATGGGGTCCCAAAGAGGCGGACACGACTGAGCGACTAACACACAGAACTATTGTTGAAACTATCCACTGAGTGCAGCTAAATCAAGCTAATACCTCTTCTAGCCAATTAAATGTCTTCACTCATATTTGCATATAATAAAAGGTGAAAGCTGTATCCATAAACTCTGTATGTGTGTATTTCCTGCACCCAGAGCAAAGGCTCAGCCCTAACTTGACACCTCTCCTCATTACCCTGAAATCTTCTGAGCCTTTTCCCCAATGAGCTGTGTGCCACGGGGAAAATTCACTTTATGAAACACTCTTTATATTATTCTAAGTAAATTAATTCACACCTTATGTCTGCTTACAAAAAGGTTACAATACGCTCACAGCACATTCCTTTTACTGTCTGACTGTACCACCAAACTCTTCAGTGTCACTGAGAGCCACCTGTAAAGATCTGCCTAGCATACTCCCCCAAAAATCAATCAGCCAGTTCGAGCTTTAAGTACTTCTTACCTGAGCTTCCCTAGTGGCTCAATGGTCAAGATTATCTGCTTGCAATGCAGGAGACCCTGGTTCAATCCCTGGTTTGAGATCCCCTGGAGAAGGGAATGGCTACCCGCATCCAGCATTCTTGCCTGGAGAATCCCATGGACAGAGGAGCCTTGCAGGCCACAGTCCATGGGTCGCAAAGAGTCAGACACGCTTGAGTGACTACCTGAGTAGTCTTCACTTTCACACTGTCACTACCTCAGTGTACAAGATCCCTCACAAAAGGACCTCATTGTAACTTGCAGGTAAACTTTACATTTCAGCTTGAAAGGGGATCCTATTATGTAGTTATAAATTTCAACACTGTGTCCGCTTCGATCACAGATCAATATTAAGTTCACTTCAAATCAGCAAGTAGACTGTAATGTAAGAAAAGGCAAAGTGGGAAGATGAGCTACGACCAGGTGTGACATTTGCTTCACATAATGAGGACAATCGAGATAATTTAAGGCTACCAATGATGCCTTATAATTGAATGTTGTACTTGGTTTAATCAAACAATACAAAAAGGACCAGACACCTACCCTGCTTTAAAAGAGTCTACTAAGGAATCCACCTAACTGTATGGCTTTCGTGAGCTGAACTCCTCGACATCGTTGCTAATAAAACGATGATCCTGACGAGGAAAGCTGAGTAGTCACATTTCATGGTGGTGTCACATCAATGACACCCACCCTGCACTGTTCAGGTCTCCGCCCCACGTCTAGGAGGCCTCTAAACATACCATATTCTCCACTTCATGCCCACTTCTCAGAGGTGGTTTAAAAATCACAATTTTTCCTATAAAATAATTCTGAAGAATAAAGAAAGGTTTTAAACCATGCTACCACTGAGAATTTAGTGTTTTTAAAGATCAGCGGCGATGACAAAAAAGATGGCAGACTTTCTAAATCTAGACTTCTAGATTCCAAATGTAAATCGAAGTGCCCCCATTAAATTGAAAACTGCCTACACTGTACTTTGCAGACCTCACTGCACACCTAGAAAGAGCAGAGAATGTTCTGACAGACCACACACCTCATGCTTCTGCTTCAGAAACACCCTCACATGCCCTTGGGGCTCTGGTCTGGTCACTTGTCAACTGCTCTGCACGTTCAGTTGCCAAGGATGCTGCGTCCTAGGGTGGTAAGGACAAAGGGTTTTTCTGACCACGTAAAGGAGAAAATCTTCACCCAAAGGAGAAACTGCTTAGGTCATCAATATCCAATTAATTTTTATGGGCTGCCTATCAACTTCGTGGTTAAGTTTTTAACCTACCAGAATCATTTATCTTTTTTTATATTTTATCTCTTTTTCTGTGAAATGAATTTTAATGCTATTTTACCATTAAAAGAATTCTTTCTGCTTTTCCCTATTTTTCTCTGTCCTGCTGAAAGGTTAACTCATAAACACAGACTGCATTTCAGTGTTTCTTTCATCATAAAACATCTAACTGTTGCCCTGTTGACTATAAATATGCCCAGCATGCCCACAGAGGTGAGTGCCTCAAAAACGACCCTGCATTTTACATCTGTCATTTTACACCCCAAATGCCACACCAGGTGCCCCCAAAGTGTTTAAGGAATTAGCTGTTCTGTGTAACATCCCAGTATACTCCTAACACCCCCTCCTCCCCACAAACACAGGGACAAATCTCCGAGCAACACTGCCGACTAAGGTTCTATTCACACAAGGGAGGTGAGAGGCTTGGGCTGGGGTGGGGAACGAGAGCACCTTCTGTCTCTCCATGGATGCCACAAGCTGCGGACAACTGTCTAGTTTTACAACTCCCTGTTTGTGTAAGGCCCTGCTCCAGCCTTCAGACTGAACCTCCCAGAACAATGTGACCTGGTGTGTTTCCCATCAACGGAAACCAGAGGACCCAGCAGTTTCTTCTCCCTGCTTTAGGTGCTACCTATACGCTGTGCACCCAAGAAAAAAGTGCATTAACCACTATTTAGTGCTTATTGCAGGTGAAACACCTTTTCTCCAAAAGTCCAAAGTTCTCGACACACTGCCTTCTCACCCATTTTAAGTTCCATCGATATATGCTAACAATCCAGTATCATGTACCATTAAAAACTATAATGTTACCTGGTACCCCGAAACAAAATGTTTGACAGAAATTATGATTATTCATTTCACCTGGCCTCTTTGGTCCGCAGCTTCTATTTAAGAATTTCAGATGTGAATCTAGAATTTAAAAAGTAACCACAGGGACTTCCCTGGTGCTCCAGTGGCTAAGACTCTGTGCTGCCAGTGCAGGGGGCCTGGGTTTGATCCCTATTTAGGGAATTAGACCCACATGCCTCAACTAAGAGTTTGCATGCCTCAAGGAAGACCCAGCACAGCCAAATCAGTATTTTTTTTAAAAAGTAACCCTGTGAACATGCTAAAAATAACTGGTACTGGATAAATCACTTTTCATAAAATTATTTTGCTGCATCATAATATTCTTGTGTGCTCATACAAATACTTTGGATTCTTGAGTCTGTTTTCTGTGAGTTTCTTCCGACTCCTCCAAGCCTTTCAACAATCGTGCTGCTGCGGAAGAGGTGTTGGTGGAGATGAGCAGGAAGATCCAACAGCACTCAGCTGCCCCTCCTAACGGTCGCTGTGTTTCCAGTACGGGAGCCAGAAGCCCCATGCACCTGTTTAAATTTAAACTAACTAAAACTACACAAAATTTAAAATTCAGCTCCTCTGTCACCCCAGCCACATTCAGCTGCTCAGCAGCCACGTGGGGAGCTCCATGGGACTGGGCACAGCGAACATGGAGCGGGGAAGGGGGGGACTTGTCATCACGCCAGGAGAGCGCAGGCACTGAGGCTGGGACCTGAAGGGCAGGTGGAGGGGCTGGCGGGGGAGGCAGCGAGGCCGGAGGGTCCACGGCCGAGGCTCAAGGGAGAGAACACACACGGAGGCGTCTGCAGGTACCGCGCCGAGGCTCACGTCGAGGCCAGATTATGAAGGGCCCTGTAATGCATTCTGAATTTGCGGAGAAGTCAGTCTAACGTTTTAAGCAACACTGTTTAGAAAGATGCACACTTTTGTAACTGAAGTATAATATTGTGTTCGTTTCTGTTACGCAGCAGTGATGCAGTTTTATAAACGTGTATGTGTGTGTGTGTGCTACTCAGTCATGTCCCACTCTTTGCGACCCTATGGACTATAGTCCACCAGGCTCCTCTGTCCATGGAATTCTCCAGGCAAGAATACTGGCGTGGATAGCCATTCCCTTCTCCAGGGGATCTTCCCAACCCAGGGGCTGAACCCAAGTCCTGCATTGCAGGCAGAGTCTTCACCATCTGAGCCACCAGGGAAGCTCCATACAAGAGGTACAGTTGCTGCTTACTTTACATACAGTAGTGTGTGTCTATCAATTCCGAAATCCTAATTTATCCCTCCTCCACCTCCCTCCCCCTTTGGGAACCCTAAGTCTGTTTCCTTCCTACTTTACAGATAGATTTGTGGTATTATTTTTAGATTCCACATGTAAGTGGTATAATATTTGGCTTTCTCTGATGTACTTCACTTAGTATGATAAACTCTAGGTCCCTCCATGTTACTGCAGATGGCATAATTCCAATTCTTTTTTATGGCTGAACAATATTTGACTTAGCAAATCTTCTTTACCCACTCAGAAAAATGTACATTTTAGAGAGAAAAAGAAAACCTTACTAAAATATGGATCACATATTGGGAAGGTGGGACTAGGGCCAAGAGGACCAGTTCGAAGGCTCTTACAGGACCTGAGTTAAGAGCTGCTGCTACAGAAAAGGAGGAGATGGAGCTACCCGAGATAGGACTACCCACCAGCCAGCTGACCTGGCTTCTGACTGGATGCTGGAGGATGAACAAGAGTCTGCGAAGATAGCTCTGCCCTGGGTACCTGAGCAGATGGTAATACCGTGCACCGACGTGTAGGGAACAGAAGAGAAGGAGGATTTTGTACAGGGTGGGGGCAGGTGGAGAAAGTCCACCAGGAGCTGCCCAGTTAGCAAGTCAATAAATATGAGAGCGAAGAGCACCCCAGGGAGAAAGCAGACCCAAGGATGTGACAACTCAAGTCACTGACAGACAGAAGGCAAAGTCTAGGAGCAGGTGAGATTCCCCGGACAGAACGGCCAGAAACATTCTAAAGGGACCGAAGGAAAGACCCATGGCAAAATCCTGCAGAACGCCAACGTCAACTGAGCAGAGAGAAGAGCCAGCTAGTGAGATGGAAGCAGACACCCTGAAAAAGCTGCAGGGAGGAAGTGACGACAAAGTTCAAATGCTGCAGAGAGAGAAGTGGCCACCAGACACTACCAGGAGGTCAGTCGCTGATAAAGAGCGTTTCTATGAAATGCTGGAGGCAGAAGCTCAAGCGCTCGGCCACAGCGATGACGGGAGGAGGGGACCAGCCCAGAGGCTCCCAGCTGTGGACCGAGGAGACCGTGCCAGGCAGTGGCGGACGTGGGCGGACCAGGGACGAGGATCTCCCCAGCGGGAGAAAGATGCTGTGGGTTCCATCAGAGGCCAGCAACCCCTAGCCTCTCTGTGCCTCAGTATAAAAGAGGGATAGTAAGGGTATTTGTGTGATGGGGGGTCTTAGAAGTAAGTGCATGAATATTTACAGAGCACGCAGAACAGTGCCTGCTGCTCAGCAAAACAAATGCTAACAAGAGGCGGCATGGAGGGCAAAGGGTCGGAGGAGGAGCACACGGGAGGGGAGATGCTAGGGCGAGACCCAGAGCACCGGAGACAAGACCTGCCTCCTCCGCCAGGACAGAAAGGGGAGGGTGTAGGGCCTGAGAAGTAAATGAGAGACTGTGGTCTCATCCCCGTGACCTCAACGGGTTTGAGTTCGGAGGGAGGCAGTGGTTGTGAAAAAAGAAATTAAAGAAGACAAAAAATGGGAAGCAGATCTGTGCTCATGGATTGGATGGATAGCTGAGATCCCTCGCTGTTCACCTGAAACTACCGCAACACTGCAGACTGGCTACACCCCAACACAAATAAAAAGTTAAAAATAAAACAGATAACCAGAAAGGACCTACTGCACAGCTCAGAGAACTCTGTTCCATGTCATATGGCAGCCTGGACAGGAGGGGAGGAGTTTGGGGAGAATGGATACATATATATGTATGGTTGAGTCCCTTCCCTGTTCATCTGAAACATCACAACATTGTTAATCAGCTCTTCAGTTCAGTCCTCAGTCATGTCTGACTCTTTGCAACCTCATGAACTGCAGCACACCAGGCTTCCCTGTCCATCATCAACTCCCAGAGCTTGTTCAAACTCATGTCCATCAAGTCAGTGATGGCATCCAACCATCTCATCCTCTGTCACCCCTTCTCCTATCCTCATCTTTCGCAGCATCAGGGTCTTTTCCAATGAATCAGTTCTTCACATCAGGTGGCCAAAGTATTGGAGCATCAGTCCTTCCAATGAATATTCAGGACTGATTTCCTTTAGGACTGACTAGTTTGATCTCCTTGCAGTCCAAGGGACTCTCAAGTGTCTTCTCCAACACCACAGTTCAAAAGCATAAATTCTTCAATTCAGCTATAAGTGAATAGCTGATTCTATTATCAGCTATACCCCAATACAAAATTGAAAGTTCAAAAGAAAAAAAATACTGCTAGACTGTCCAGTTTGCCCAAAGCAAACTACACACAGTCCTTCTCAAAATTCCAATGGCATTTTTCAAAGAAACACACAAACCTAAAATCTGTATGGAACCACAGAAAACCCCAAGAATTGACAGAACCAAGGGGCAGGGTCAGAGGGCACTGTGAACCCAATGTCTAAAGCCAGCTGCGAAACGACATCCTGTTCTCGAGCTTCCTTTTCTCATCTGTAAAGCACAGGTGAGACCACCGACTCTAATTCATTAAGACTGGAGTGTATAGGTAAAGCACCTGGCACTGCATCTGGCACACAGTCCATTACGCAGATGGGAAACTTTAGATACACAGAGTATGCTGACCAGGCTGAGCGACCTTCACCCAGTTACTCAGCCTCTCTGTCCCGGTTTCTCACCTGTGGGGCCGGGTCACGGGTGGAAAGGGGGCCCTCCATTCGAAGATGCCAACCTATGTAGCTCTGCAATGAGACTCATGTCTACACTTAGACTTAGCTATACTTAAAGTACAGCCATCCTCTTCCAAAACTTACACTTTTAATGGGATAAAAATAATCAAAATTTCAAGAAGCACAGATAACTGATAAAGTGATTACAAAGATAAATCAAACACACATACACTATGTAAATAATTCAGTGAAGCTTCAGTTCTCAATGTGAAATTGCCTGGACTCACTAGTAATCCTAAAGCAACTGCTCCAGCACACGGGACTGGGTTAGGAAAATATCATTTCTCAGAACACGTTCGCTCGTCATGCCATGCAAGGGCATCACAAATAACCCCTCAGCCTTAGTCCACCTGGAGAAAGGGAGCGGAGGCCGCAGGGCACCAGCCTGTACCACTTCCAGGAGAACCTCGGACAGCCCCCGGAATCCTTCCTAAATGTTAGGAGCCCCCGCAGCCGCTGGAAGTGAATTTTCTAGAAGAAGGAAACCTCGTACTTCCTCTTCTCCACAGGACAGGAGATGCACTCTTCCTGCTGAGCACCATCACGAGACACAACTGCCCACACAACTGCAGCCTCCCATTAAATCACCAACCTAAGGGCCGAACACAGCTTCCAGGCACCCTGGAAAGCGCTGATGTAAGAACCAGGTGCTGGAACATTCTATTTCCCATTCATCTGCTGAACAAACCAGTGTGATGTAACTTCTTTAACCTCCTTTTCCAGTAACAAGGTAGATTACCATCAAATGTCTTCTTTAGGGATGCTGTGAGGGTGACTTAGCCAATAATACATTTCCTTGTACAAAAACTGTATTAAAATGCTTATTCTTCACTCGGATCATCTCAGAGGTCTAACCTGGGATGCTTCTTTCCTCTGATGCTCTGACCACGCAGGTGGGAAGCCTCCCTCGTCAAGAAGCCACAGGAGATGTCAACTTCAAACCATCCTTGACCTCGGCTTCCACTCTTGTAACACAGAAGAAATCACAGAACATTTCTTTAGAACATCTCCTTCCCTAATGACCCATGATGACCAGACATTTCCCCAAGTCTGGAGTCCAGAGCAGGTCCCCTCTGCTTGATGGGCCCCTGCATGGACCACCCCCTCCCAAGGAGCTGGGAGACCCCAGGCATGGCCCCCAGAGCCCCGCACAAGACTCGGCCCAAAGTTCATACTCGGTTTTCTGTGTCTAACCACCCTGGGTGGACCCCATTTCAACACAAGCTAGTCATGTACAGATGTGACTGTTGGACCATAAAGAAAGCTGAGCACCGAAGAATAGATGCTTTCAAACTGTGGTGTTGGAGAAGACTCTTGAGAGTCCCTTGGACTGCAAGATCAAACCAGTCAATCCTAAAGGAAATCAACCCTGAATGTTCATTGGAAAGACTGCTGCTAAAGCTGAGGCACCAATACTTTGGCCACCTGATGCGAAGAGCTGCCTCACTGGAAAAGACCCTGATGCTGGGAAAGACTGAGAGCAGGAGAAGATGGTGCCAACAGAGGATGAGATGGCTAGATGGCATCAATGACTCAATGCACATGAGTTTGAGCAAACTCCTAGAGACAGTGCAGGACAGGGAAGCTGGATGCACTGCAGTCCATGGGGTCGCAAAGAGTCAGACACGACTTAGCAACTGAACAACAGGTTCACATAAACATTTACCATCTTTAACTTCTACTGACTATTCTCAAATTTAAAGGTGGTCTATAAAATTACCACCTCTCAAAGATGAACGATGCCCAATCGTGACATATCTCTACACATTAGAAAACCTGAGAGAAACAGTCACAGAGAAATGAAGGAAGAAATGTCGGGGCCAAGGTGGGGAGGCAGAAAAACAGCATCAATAAATTTGGGGAAAACCAGCTTCATCCGGCCCCCGACACTCTCTCTGCCCCAGGTAACTTAAAGCAGCTCTCTGGACCTCAGCTTCCTCCTCCAGGAGAACATGACCGTAACCATGCCCTCACTGCCAAAGGGCTGCTTAGACATGATCTCGTTTACCTGCCGCAGGCGGCTCGTTGCAGACTGCCTGGCATGCGGTGGATGGACAATGACACCGGCTGTCCCCCAACATAGGCACCCATCTTAACCTGCAACTTTTGGGGGCAGACACAGGGCTGGCGGGAAGGGACAGGAAGCCTGCAGACAAGCCCCTCACAGGCCACTTTCCCAGAATGGGGAGGGGGCTAGGAATCTTGCTTTCACATCTCCAGAACCTGGGAAACTCGAAATGGGAGCACCGAAAGACCGGAGCCCTAGTCCGACTGCTTGACCCTACACAGCAGTGGTGAGTAGGCACCTGTTTTGTTCAAGGTCACCCAGCTAGTCGAGGTCAGAAGGAAGACTCGACCTAGTGCTCAGACCCATAGACTGGGCCTGGTGCTGTTGTAATGAATACCCCACAGGGCAGAAGAGTGAGTCCCCCATTCTCAGACTAGACAAGCAGTATTTATAACACCATCGGGCCAATGGTAACAGACGGGGGAAGCAATCCAGTTTTAAAACAGGACATCCATCCAGACACGACCTGTGGCATGAGCGTTACTCATAACTTGCAGCAACTCCAAATAAGGCGGCTTCTCAACATCCTGGCCGTCCTGTTATCACTGACCGCAGCGTTCTCTCTCCAAGGTCACTGTGCTGAAGGAAACAACGTTCATTTGCATAATGTCTGGTGTATTGAGTCAACTGTGATAGGAGGATTTTTTCCTCTAAACCAGCAGCGTATACTTGCTTCTCCAGAATGTTTCTGGACAGCCCTTCATACACTCACAGACACCTGCTCTCTGCACCACCTCCCTTGAACCCCTGCGCCCCTCCAGAGGGTGGTGCGTGCTCAGAACCACCCAAGCTTCCCTGGTAGCTCAGACAATAAAGAAAACATCCAATTCAGGGCAGATACAGAAAGAGGTCGTGCAACCAAGTTGCAAGCTTTTTTTCAAAGAGCACCATTTTGACTTGGAGTGGAAAGGAAACTGACAAACTATAGCTGTTCAGGCATTTGGCAGGAGTTCTTCTCAAAAGTGAACAAAATAAGTCTGTCACTTCAAGGAAAACAATTGACAGTTTTGTCGCCAATGATAAAATCTGAGCTTCCAAAGCAAAAGCCAGAATTTTGGAAAATCTCTATCCACCACAGTGAACTTGACAGCCTCCCAGAACTTAAAAGACTTTCCTGATTAAATGGGTGCTGATATTAACAAATGTGATTTTTAAAAAATATTGTCTAATAAAATGTGTCAACATATGAAAGATTTGTGTAATTCACTGAATCAATATTTTCCAAATTACCAACACATGACGTTACAAAACCACGCACAGATAAAAGACCCATTCAAAGGGCAAAACACACCAACGAATTTTAATGAAACCAGAAACAAAAATTTCACTCATACGACGTCAGAGTCCACACTGCAACT